TTCAGCATAAACAGACCTCATCTCATTTATCAGATACCATTTTTAATGAGTGTGCTTTATCTCATACCACTGTGTTCTATATCTGGCTCTGTCAATAAGATCTCTGTATAAGATCTTTTTCCAATGCAGAGGGCCCAAATTTCAAGGTCACACTAATGTCTGCCCGGCCTACTGAACACTGGCCGAGCCTAAGTGAGTTTTTTCTCCTCTCATCAGATTCTCCAGTTGATTGTGCAAAGTCTTTGTACTGCATCTGCTGCAGCTTCCATGCTGGAGAACAGTGCACTCTTGTGGGGCAACATTAACACCAGCCAGACAAAAACCTCCTGCATCGTGGAGCTGTTCACAAAGCAGGACTGTATAAATGAAACAGAGTTATCAATACATACCTGTTTTGGCATTGGGTCACCATAGATGTATGGTGAATGTGTACACTCTCAAGTCTTAAATTATGAAAAAAAGAGGTACCTACTACAGTTTCCCTTATATAAACATCAGCTTCATATTTTAATATGACCTGCACATGTGAATTTTAGGAGGATAAGACATTGAGTAAATCAGAAGAGAAGCTTTAGAAAATCATCATTTTATTTAGATAACATGAGTTATCCAGATTATCCTCTTTGCATGCTATCTACTACTTGAATTTTAAATGCTGCTTTAGTGTATAAAAAAAGAAACAGAAACAATTACATGCACATTTGTGTAAAGAAGCATCAGTCATAAATATATATAGTACTTGCAGAAAATGTGATCCAATATGTTATGCATAATTCAATGAGTTAATTTCTCTATCTTTCACTCTAATTTCTGCATCAGCTTAACTAGTTTGTGCTTGTGTTGAGAGCAACATGGAAGGATGAGATGATGATGCAAAACTCTTTTTTGTTGGGCATTTTCACTTTTGCATGGTAGTTTTATTCCCACACTTATTGCATATATTATGTGTTTATGTGTAAATGTATTAAATACTATTATTTCACAAATACCTAAAGTTTTTATAGTAAATATATAACTGCTTTTTAATAATCACTCCCAGATTTGTTTGCTAATGAATTTACGACTGAGTAAATCAATGATTAGAACAAAGAGATATCTATACGAAGACAGCGTTAAAACAAATAAATAGTTTATATAAGTCAAGCCAGTATTAAAATGGAGCTCTTCATATTATTTAAAATATCTACCTGCTCAAATTAGTTGCTATGAAATTTATGTAAAATGTGTTATGATTTTATTTTGTGTTGTTTGTTCTTTTCATTCCAANTACTAGTTCATCTATTTTTGTACATGTTTTAAATTTGGCAAACCAAAATGTTAAAAAAAAAGTAGTAGGTTTTAAAATATTGATTTTGTATTCTGTCTTGGCAATGGCAAACCTTCCAAAAGCTAATCAAGACAGTCTAGAATTGGGTGTGGATCCCTTACCAGTGGGGACCTTTACAATCTCTGTGCTGGGGCTGGTCCCCGGCAGATATTATATTTAATTCTTCCAGGAGAAGTATAATCAACCTTAAAGATAAACCTACTTGCAAATAGGCATAGTTTTATTGCTTTTAATGTGGCAAATATTGACCGCAAAACACTGAATATGGGGCATCTGTCTAACTATTTACACATATCTTTGTAGGCAGTAAGATAAAAGAAGCTCTGCTCTAATCTTTAATGAGCATCAGGAATTATTAAGTGATTCAGCATAAACAGACCTCATCTCATTTATCAGATACCATTTTTAATGAGTGTGCTTTATCTCATACCACTGTGTTCTATATCTGGCTCTGTCAATAAGATCTCTGTATAAGATCTTTTTCCAATGCAGAGGGCCCAAATTTCAAGGTCACACTAATGTCTGCCCGGCCTACTGAACACTGGCCGAGCCTAAGTGAGTTTAAAATGTGTTATGATTTTATTTTGTGTTGTTTGTTCTTTTCATTCCAAAGAGGATTCTAAAATTGAAAATCAAAGTTTTCAATGAAATTTATGTAAAATGTGTTATGATTTTATTTTGTGTTGTTTGTTCTTTTCATTCCAAAGAGGATTCTAAAATTGAAAATCAAAGTTTTCAATGAAATTTATGTAAAATGTGTTATGATTTTATTTTGTGTTGTTTGTTCTTTTCATTCCAAAGAGGATTCTAAAATTGAAAATCAAAGTTTTCAATGAAATTTATGTAAAATGTGTTATGATTTTATTTTGTGTTGTTTGTTCTTTTCATTCCAAAGAGGATTCTAAAATTGAAAATCAAAGTTTTCAATGAAATTTATGTAAAATGTGTTATGATTTTATTTTGTGTTGTTTGTTCTTTTCATTCCAAAGAGGATTCTAAAATTGAAAATCAAAGTTTTCAATGAAATTTATGTAAAATGTGTTATGATTTTATTTTGTGTTGTTTGTTCTTTTCATTCCAAAGAGGATTCTAAAATTGAAAATCAAAGTTTTCAATGAAATTTATGTAAAATGTGTTATGATTTTATTTTGTGTTGTTTGTTCTTTTCATTCCAAAGAGGATTCTAAAATTGAAAATCAAAGTTTTCAATGAAATTTATGTAAAATGTGTTATGATTTTATTTTGTGTTGTTTGTTCTTTTCATTCCAAAGAGGATTCTAAAATTGAAAATCAAAGTTTTCAATGAAATTTATGTAAAATGTGTTATGATTTTATTTTGTGTTGTTTGTTCTTTTCATTCCAAAGAGGATTCTAAAATTGAAAATCAAAGTTTTCAATGAAATTTATGTAAAATGTGTTATGATTTTATTTTGTGTTGTTTGTTCTTTTCATTCCAAAGAGGATTCTAAAATTGAAAATCAAAGTTTTCAATGAAATTTATGTAAAATGTGTTATGATTTTATTTTGTGTTGTTTGTTCTTTTCATTCCAAAGAGGATTCTAAAATTGAAAATCAAAGTTTTCAATGAAATTTATGTAAAATGTGTTATGATTTTATTTTGTGTTGTTTGTTCTTTTCATTCCAAAGAGGATTCTAAAATTGAAAATCAAAGTTTTCAATGAAATTTATGTAAAATGTGTTATGATTTTATTTTGTGTTGTTTGTTCTTTTCATTCCAAAGAGGATTCTAAAATTGAAAATCAAAGTTTTCAATGAAATTTATGTAAAATGTGTTATGATTTTATTTTGTGTTGTTTGTTCTTTTCATTCCAAAGAGGATTCTAAAATTGAAAATCAAAGTTTTCAATGAAATTTATGTAAAATGTGTTATGATTTTATTTTGTGTTGTTTGTTCTTTTCATTCCAAAGAGGATTCTAAAATTGAAAATCAAAGTTTTCAATGAAATTTATGTAAAATGTGTTATGATTTTATTTTGTGTTGTTTGTTCTTTTCATTCCAAAGAGGATTCTAAAATTGAAAATCAAAGTTTTCAATGAAATTTATGTAAAATGTGTTATGATTTTATTTTGTGTTGTTTGTTCTTTTCATTCCAAAGAGGATTCTAAAATTGAAAATCAAAGTTTTCAATTACTGAGTTTGTTTAAAGTGAGACACACTTTTATCTTGTTATCCCTATTTAGCTGAATAGGATTTGTGACACATGATCAGCATAGCCATGGGAAGATTGAGCTGTTGCTGCTGCTGCCTCTGAAATTCAATAAATAAAAAGTCAGCCATGGTCTGTGAGTCTGTAAGTCTGGCACCTTTGAAATTATTGCATTCCATTAAATACTCAGTTTATTTATTGCCTGCCTTTGATCATGAAATCACAAAACTCCCCTTTCCACAGCAATATACTTAGGACTCAGACACTAAGGAATCTCAGGTAGCATTCTTACTCATAGTTGTAAACTTGTGATTAACATCCTAGGTTGGCAGTGGGGTTAATGTGGTGATTACCTGCTCCAACAACTTTGTCAATGGATATGTTCGTAGCATCCAACTCTCTGGCAAACTCATGAACTGCTTGGGTTGGGTCTTCATATGTATGTGGGTCAACATAAGTCCTGAGACCTGGAAGTTTTACTGTTTAAGGGAAAAAAGAAATGCATTATTGCAGCTAGATTCATAAAACCTTTACTGAGAAAATTTTATGATAACATTAATGATTAAAAAAAAATTCTATCCCAACAAAGCACACCAACCTTTAGTTTATTCCGTAGTATCACAGACACTGGCAGAGACATTGGACTAAGTGCCGAAAAATTTAAGAAAAGAATTTCCCATTATGAAGCATAAAGAGAAACCACAATGAGGAGTTTTCTCTGCAAAATGCTAGAAGGAAAATGGACATTCAAGAAAGAAAATCTTAAGAAGAAAGATGGTTCAGAATTGAATAGGCCTAGTAGTTACTACTAGTAGCACTAGTGAGTGAATGCCATCATTCTATTGTACATTTATGGTTTGTACACAAACACTACAGTACCCAAATATCTACTACAATGCAATATCTGACAATAAGTCAAAGAATGTGAAATACTTTCATAAGGCGGGATAGTTACTGTAATTACAGATAAATCAATAAAAGAATATAAAATGGCATGTCTTCTGATACTATACCACTTTTATTAACATTCACTCTAAAGATCTAAGCTGTGAGTAGGTTTATTTATGTATGTATTATATACACACACTAATATAGCATCAATTAATTGAAATCTTATTGTGTAGCTTTTCAACAAGACAACTTCATGAATGCCATGGTTACACTATGTTATAATTTATGTTCCTGTGAAGTTTCCATAGAGGTTTTGAGTATAGAAACATAGGAATAAGGATAAATGGATTATTAAAGAAAAGGTGGCTGAGACAGACGGAAGGTGAAAACTCTATTTTCTTCAGCTACTTCTTGGGATGACTTTAACAAGCATTATAGGAATGAGAGGGAGTGTCAAGCTATTTTACCTGCCCATAATCCTGCTGACTGGGCCAATTGTTGAGCTAGGGCTGGGTCTGAAGCTCACAGACACCTCAAGCTCATTCACAAACTGGGTCACAAACCCTTCACATGGCAGGCTGGGTCACCAGACCCCTCACACACAGGTCTATGAGCTAGGTAACCTGCAAACAAGTCCTTGGAGCCATAGGTTTGAGAGCATGGCTGCAAGGAGTTAGATGCCCGAGGCACTCAATGCCAGCTAAGTCACAGCACTGCACATGCACACCAACTCCACCCACACACAACTTATTTACAAAGAATTCACTGCACCACCCCCAACTGGCAAGATGGGCCTCATTAAATTATTCTATTTTCTCAACAGGGAGCAAATGGGAGATGACAGAAGAAAGGCTCATACTCCTACATCTGCCTGGTGCTGATGCTGCTATTGCAGAAGAGCAGCCACTCTCCAGCCTGAGGCAGGGTGTGGATAATTTTAAAAGACACCCTATCTAGGAAGTCAACATCTATAGAAATGGGAAAATTTAAGTTGGTTTGGACGAACAGAGTGGAGAAGCTTTTGAAGTGGGAATTCCATCTTTGGAGTTTTTCTATCTTGGATAGCTCAGCAAAAAGGACAAGCTGGGCCTCAGAGAGAAAAAGCTCCTGAAAACTAACTATTCGAGTGAATAGCATTAAGTGTGTGTTATGCAGTTAGCGCTAAACAAATGATAGAGATTATTGCCCTAATTAGTATTTTCATTGCTAAGAATATTTGTTTGTAATTATTAATATCACTGAAGTTTCCTGTTGGTAGATTTTGGGCTCAGAAATGCCCATTTCTTTTCAGTTCACAGATCAGTTTGCACGCTTCTTTCATATATACAATATTCCTTCCTTTAAAAACAGAGGGCAAAGTCACCCTTTAATACGGTGGACTCCTATACTTTATTATTACAGTAAACAACTCCTAATATCAGTACTAAAACACTTTGCCCTTAAAATAAGAAACAGAGTATGAAAAGCTATCATATTTTTCGTGCTTTGGAGTAAGGAAAACTATGAAAGTAACCACAGAGTTACTAAGATATGTAGGAGATAAAGTTTTATTGGAATCTTTTTGTTTAGTCAAGTCAACTTAGTTACATTTTGATGAGGACTCACTTGAGATTGTGGAAGAGTTACTAAGATATGTAGGAGATAAAGTTTTATTGGAATCTTTTTGTTTAGTCAAGTCAATTTAGTTTCATTTTGATGAGGACTCACTTGAGATTGTGGCTATTATATGTGATCTTCCAGTTTTGATTTGCCTCTACTTAGTAATCCTAAGGTACAGAAATCTAGCATTCCTCTTCAAATAAAAATATGACACTTTAAACCTAAGGGAAAATTGAATTTTTTTTTGGTAAACAATTACAAATATTTTAACTTGTTGAACTTAATAAAATCAATTAGAAGGAGAATTGCTGGCATCAGAATTTGCAATAATTATCAAATGAGTTGTTAGGAATGATGTCTCAAATATTTTTAATAAGCCAGGGCATTAAAAAGTCTTGAAAGTGTGCTTTGAAATTTCTACCCTTCAGTACCAGTCAGCCCTAGAGAACATATGTATTACTGAAAACTTTAAAAATTAAATAGTCATTCCTAAATAAAATCATCATATCCATTGCTGTTAATTAAAATGGTAAATTGCTTTTCCATCCACATGACATTTGATGAAAAAATTACAAATATAAACACACACACACTCCCTAAATAAAATAGTCTGTTCTCTGTGGGAGCTTTGGCTGCTGATTTTTAACTGCTGACCCCAGAGGTGGCACGAATCAGGTGATTCAGGCTGAGAGGCACATAATCCCTTCACACCAATAATTAGGGGCTGTACACAGAGTAACTGGGCTCTGTCATGAAAACCAGATAATAAACACATGCACACGTGTTAAGCTGCACTACTTTACAGCTCGTTCTGTGCAAACACAATAATTTACATTTCCATTTTACCAGCATGAGTTGCCCTAAGGATAGCAGAAAAGTAAAAAGGCCCAGCCAGAGAGGGCAAAGTGACAGGATCTTAGGAGGTGAAACACATTTCTTTCCTTTTGAAGCAATATTATAGGATTTGTAACAAGGCTGGAGGGAATAGTTCATAGCTAGAGCTTTTTAAAATAATACCAAATAAATGGTCTGAAATAAACCAGCTGTAGTATTAAGAGGCAGAAAGTTTATGACATGTATATAAGTTACTTTATATGGTTGCAGTGAGGATAAAATGCATTTCTTTTTTGTTTGTCCATCATAAGGATATTGTGCATTTGAAATAATTTAAAGTTTCAACAAAGTCTACCACAAAAACCGACAGCAAAACAGACTGGGGAGATACAGGAACCTGCTTACAATTGGCCCATAGAAATTTATCAAAGCTCCAAATTTGTAAGACTTATCATTCCTATTAAAAGAACCAAATCAGCATGATCTTGCAGTAAAGACAATATTTACATCAATTGTTCAATTCAAACTAAGAGCAACTTAATGCACAAGAATATAACTGCTCTAATTTATACATGGAGATTGTAACAGAGTGTTTTGTGGCGCTATGCAAAAAAGGAAAACAAATATCCTGTAATTTGTGCATGCACTCTTCTAAGACTTTTGAGTTGGTAACCTAACTAATGTGGATTAATATGATGTTGATATTAGGAAGGTAGTACTTTGGCTTTTTGTGAATTATCACATAATGACTCTGTAATGAGATGGACAGAACAATGCTTCTGCAAACTCTTGCACTTTTTCCATCGCAAGTCAATTTACATTTTAGAATACATTTTTTTCAATCTACTCTGTGCTTTTCGATGCTACTAAAAGGCAATCAAGTTTTCTTACTTGAGTTATAACTAAAGCTACCATTTTTAGATGCAAATTCAATGGCTGATAGAAAGTATCATATTGATTTGAAAATAATTTTAGAAGGTAATAGTAAATGCTAAAGAAAGGAATGCATACAAGACTACATTAGTTATATTGAGATTATTTTAGAGCACATGAGCATGAGTATAGTCTTTGTACTAATTTCCATGAGAACATGCTATTCCTTTTAAGACCACTGATTAGTAACTGCCACACTAAGCTGAGCCACAGTTTGGAAAAGCAAAACACCTGGGATGATTTGTTTCGCCAGAAGAAAAAAAAGACTTTTTGTTAGATGTAAACATTACAGTTACAAAAAGAGCATTTCTTTTAGAATATATTAAAAGAGGCAAAATTGGTTGGTATTAAAATGTGGGGGGAAGTGCTGGCTTTACCACTTGTTGGATATCATGTAACTCTAAAATAAACAGTTTATTCTTAAGGCTCTTTCCTGGTTGATTGACAAAATGGAATAAGGCAGTTCAAATAAACAGAGGTTGTTTATATTTACTTGGCAGTTAGGAAAGAGAAAAGTCTCCTATTTAAATTTTAGCAAAGAACTAGTAATAAGGAAATGGAAGATACGCTTTGCATTTCAGCCATGCAGAGCTGACTACAGTTCCTACTAACCATCATGTGCATTATTTAAATATAAAGCACAGGTTACTCTTCACTATAGAGTAAGTATGCTAAAATGTAGCCATGTAAAAATTACTTAATGCAGAGCCATGAATTTCCTTCTCCTTCTAAAATAAATTTAATATACTCAATTTTTCTGTAAAACTACTTTTTAAATTTTCTTTTTCGGGGAAAATTTACCCAATTATAAATCAACATGTGCTAAAACTAAAATGGTAAAACAAAACAAAAATCAAAGTTTAGAAACTTACAATGCCCATTCCCAAAGTGAAGTCTTTTTTCATCTGCACCATGTTTTGACTTGTTATAGCCACAAAACCTACAAGTAAATCAAAGGAAGAGAACACATAGGAGAATACACTTAAAACAATGATCTATGCCCAGAATGTGCAAAGCACAAACAATAAAGCATTTTCCTCAAACAATTAAATGCTTTAGTGAAAGTTTAATGACTTCATATTTTCTGAATCCTCTGTAGAAAGCCTCTCTCTCTGGGGACTGTGGAAAGTTGCCTAATGAGGAGATATGTAAAGTTGATCCCTACTGTGCAGACCCCTCCAGTTCAGTTTTTATAATGGCCTTAGAATGTGTTTATAGTATTTTTTAACAACTATTGTAAGAATGAATGAAGGGTAAATTCTCCATTGGTAATGATTAGTGGTATGCAGTGTTACCAGTGTTATTCTGGGTGAGAAAGTGTCAAGGAAATCTGGAGTTATTTGAAGAGTGAGGGGATAATTGGAAAATGAAAGTAAAAACTAGGAGTGGGGTCAAAAAACAGAAGTGGTGTGTGTTAGAAAGTGGGGAAAGGAACTCAGGATGGAGAAAAAAAGAAAGGGAGGAGAAAAGGAACAACTAGAATTCAAGTGGAAATATTCTTATTTGTTAAAATACTTTATTGGCACACTCTACATTTTAACAGCAGTCAAAGGCATCAAACAAAGGAATAATGAAAGTTAATAGTAAAACAGACTGTGAACTCACCTCCCAATCAGAACATATATGACGACAGTGAGAAGAATAATCGCTACAGCCGCTGAGATGGCTATCATCACCACTTGGCTGTTTTCACTGGAGATGGAGAAGGCTGTGAGGTTGAAGGAAAAAAAATAAGAAAATAGCAGGCATGACCACATCACAACTCACATCTACATGGAAGAGTTGATAAATTAAGTCAAATGTATTCTGTTGTTTCTGAAATGGAGTTTAATGTCTGATACAAACAAACAAACAAAACATTTCCCATAATTTTGCTTGAAATATCTACCTAATTAATAGGATTAAATACTCTGTTTCAATGATATCAATCAAACATGACTGGAATATGTACTGTGTGAAATATGCTAGGCTACACTTTTGGTGGGACTGTAAATTAGCACAGACATTATGGAAGACTATATGGAGGTTTCTCAGACAACTACAGAAAGAGCTACCATATGATCCAGCAATTCCACTACTGGGTATATATCCAAGGGAATGGAAAGCATCATATCAAAGGGATACCTGCACTTCCATGTTCATTGCAGCTATATTTACAGTAGCCAAAACATAGAACCAACCTAAGTGTCCATTGATGGATGACTGGATAAAGGATATGTGGTATATATAGAGTACAATGGAACACTACTCAGCCATAAAAAGAAGGAAATTCTGCCATTTGCAACAATGTGGATGAGTCTGGAGAAAATTATATTAAGTGAAATAAGCTAGACAAAGAAACAGAAATGCTGCATGTTCTCACTCCTATCTGGCTGCTAGGAAGAAAGGAAGGAAAGAAAGAAAAGATCACAACAATGTGTTGAACTTTCAGAAGAAGAGAACAAACCTAAGGATACTAAAGATGGGGGAAAGGGGTGGGGGTTTGGGAAGTGATAGTTTGGACAAAGGTCATACAGAAATATCACGATTTGTAAAAATGAATATGCTAATAGTAAATTAAAAAAATTCAAAATAAAATAAAAAGAAGTTACCCCCCCCCAAAAAAAACTATCTAATGATAGTAAAAAGTTAAAAAAAATTCTAAGAAATTCAAATTTTGGTGTTATAAATAAAGTTTTATTGGAACACAGCCACAATTATTCATTTTATATTGTCTATGGCTGATTTTATTGTAGAATGGGCAAGTTCAGTAGTAGCAATAGGAATTGTATGTGCAAAAAGCCTAAAATATTTATTATCTGGTCAATTATGGAAAATGTTTACTGACCCTTGACTCAGATCAATGCTTTTCAAACTTTAACGTCACAGAAACCTTTTGGAGATCTTTCTGAAAAAGCAGTTTCTGATTCAGTCAGTCTGGAGCAGGAACTGAGATTGTATATTTCTTATGAGCTCCCAGGTAGGGTTGATGATGCTGATTCCAGACCATATTTTGAGTAGCAAGAATTTACATCATAATTATGAAGTCATCTTGTTGCCTCCCTCTCCTGATTATTCTACATCCAATTAATCACCAAATCCTCTTAAATATTCTAGATTATGTCTTCATTTCTCTTCTGGATTTATAATTAGAAATTCCTAATTGGTCTCTATTTGCATACCTTTCCTATCTTTCACCTTGCCACCAGAGTACTCCCTCTAAATTACTAATTTAAGCATGTTATTCCTATGCATAAAATCTTTGCATGGCTCTCCGTTACTTTCAGAATAGAATGAATATTATATGGCAGAGCCATCTTTTCATGACTCTCTGTTACTTTCAGAATAAAACACAAATTCTATGGCAGAGCATGTAATGCTATTTAGGATCTGTTTTCTATCTATTCTCCCGCCTCATCTATAGATCAATAACATCCTAACCTCTAGACTTTCCAAAATACACGTAGTTCCTGGAACAGCCACTTTCATATGCTCATATATCCCTATGTTCCTCCCATCACCAATGCTGATTGAACATATGAACAAATTGATTCAAAAGAAGAGCAGAGAGTTTAGTCACTTGACTACTATCACCTCTCCAGAAACTAACACGGCATTTTCAACCTGATCAAATCAAAGTGTGGAAGATTTTCTCCAACATATGTGGTTTTAGGAATAATTAAATGATGCAAGAAAAAAAAATGGCAGATGGGCTGTGGGAAGTTTCCCAAGCATCTGATAAGGAGTGCAGAGTGTGGCAAGATGGCACACTCGTAATATAAACTGTTGAAAGCACTTCATTCTTTACTACCAGCAAACTATTGTTTAGACCACTGTTGCTAAGAGGGAAGCAAGCAGACAGCCTTCAGCTGCTGCACCTCCGGGATCCACACAGCCTTCACACAGAGGTCACATTCTCCTCAACAACTAAACACAGCAAGGGCAGGGGTACTGGGACCCAGCCATTCCTGCCCAATGCAGAACTCCTTGACTGAGAGATCTGCACTCCGGGAACCCCCACTGGCTTGGCCAAGACTCTCAGAGCTGCATTTCAGTCTGAGGCTCTTTCTCTCCATCCCTTTCTCCTTTCCCTCCTTCTTTACATAGATGACAGACCTACATCTTATGCTTGGGTTCTGCTTATCCAACGCTGCTTTGCCCCTCTTTTACCCTTCATGTGTATTTCCCCCTATAAAGCTCTTGCTCTTGTAATTCCATTCTGTATCTGCTTCCCAGTGAATGTGCCTGATACATCCCTATCTATTAGCTATAGATCTGTGAACAGTTTGTAAAATAGCTTAAACCAGCATTTCAAAAATGTTTCATAAACATAATAATAACTCTAACTCAATACTTTTCATTTCATGAACTGTAATAATTTATAAAGAGCAGCAAATTTTGAGTTCTCTGGTCATTTTGATTAGCCAATTTATAAAATAAAGCTCAGTGAAACCAGGAGGGGAAACATGACAGGAGACAGAAGAGTTCCCTATTTCCTTTCCTGGTGAAGATGAAATTAAACTGGGAGTCTCTACGCTTTCCTCTAGTTCTAGATATTTACGAGTCTCAGAGACTGCCTAAAGCACATAACCAAATCAGATAATTTTTATTACTAAAATCAGCAAACATTTGAATGAATAATATTGGTTCATTACTCCCACTTACTAGAGATACAAACTCAGGAAAAACACGTAAACTGTGTCCTAGATCATGCGTAAAAGGAAATAATTGTATCTGAATAGCTTACAGAACAAGATCAAGTGAAATGTTTATTAAATACTTTATATATTGTCACCTGAATGAATTTGTTCTATAATCAGATCCAACAGCTACCAACTGTGTGACTTTGGAAAGCTTAGTTAACCTCTTTAGGCTTCAGATTTTTTATCTGTAAAATGAGGATGATGATAAATGTAAAGCACTGAATACAAAAAGTAAAGTATTTTAAAGTACTTAGGAAAGTAAGTATATGTTCCAAAGTGCCTCTATAACTTTCCTATAAACCAAGTTCAGAAAATGCTATCCAAATTCTACCTCAAAATACACTGTGTTCTACTAAGAAATATGTAGATATAAATAAAAACTTTTCATGTAATTAAAAAAATTAAAACTAGAGGAAAAAAGCAAACCGTTAAAAATACCCAAACACGAGTCTTCTGATGTCTTTTAAATATCAACATATAACAAATATGACTCTTAAATTCTTATAGTTTTATGAATATATTATTTTGATTTACAAATAATGGAGTGAGGGTTGATTGTTTTACTCCCCCCCCCTCCAAGTCACAGGGCATTTTTTTCTCATCTATGTTTAAAATCTAGAAGAATTCTATGGTGAAGCACTAAGAGTAAATTGATTTTAAAAAAATCAAATTGTACAACTCAGAGGGAGTTTATATATGGAGAGGCAGAAGAAAAAAGTTCACCTTTTTAAAATATACCGTTTTCCTCTTCTCTCACTAAATCAGTGGAAGTACTGCAAGTACCAAACTTACTTGGCAAAAATCCTAAGACACTGCAGTTTTCAAATAAAATATTTCTTAAACCTCAGACACTGAAGCCTCATTAGAAGTTCATGCATAAATGCTACCACAGCAATATTTGCGGTAAATTTGGAATTACACTAAACTTGGGAATTTTTGTTGTTTTTGCAAATTACTTATCAAGTAGGATTAGTGCTGATTTAGGTCATACAAGATTAGACAGATATTCCAAAATATGCATTAACATAAGAAATGTTTATCTAATTATGAGCTGATCCTCTTGCTCCTTAATATGCCTAATTTCCACCACAGTATATAATAAATACTGGCTTTTTCTAATTCTATGATCTGGGATCTCTCTTGGTAAATCAAATATAGATTATGTTGTTGCTTTTAATTCAAATATACTTTGAAGAGTTTGAAAAAAGTCAATTTATAATTATTTCAAAAGAAGTAATTTTCTTTGTACCACTTAAAATTTGCAAAAAGACTTAGAACTATTAGTGTTAAGTTGCAATTATATTTTTTATTGTCACCTAAGTTTTTAATTTGTTTTAAATCTTGTTCACATAGATTTTCATGGTACTCTGTTTTGTTTCTAATGTCCTCAGAGAATGGATTTTTCATGTTCATTTCATCATAGCAGGTTTAAAAAAGGTCTTTAAGCAGAGATTTATGTATTTGAGGATGGCAGCTCTTCTTTGAGTCAAAGAATTGTCATGGTTCTGCTGTGAGCAGATGATTTGAAAAAAACATTCAAATCTCAATACACTGCAGAATTTATAGCTTCCTTCATGTAAAAATGTGACTATAGATGAGGAACAAAATATGTAGAAAATGCAAAATATAGATGGCAGGGAAAAATGGCAAATTGGATTGGTCAGAAGAGATTACTGGTTTCCCTTTCAGTGGAGTGCTGAGCACTGTCAGACCCTGCCTGGGTAATCTAATTCTAAAGCACAAGCATTTTTCATCATCTTTCTAGGCTATTTTATTACTATGCATTAAGTTATAGAAAACTGATAGTGATGTCTATGGTTTTTCCTATTACGATGAAAATGACACTTATTTACTAAAAATATAAGTGGTTTGCGACCTTTTGAAAAGATGATCCCAATCACATTTATTGATGCCAGAGAATATTAACCCAGTTTCTGAAGTATTAGCAAATGTGTCAAATATTCCCGTTTGCTTAAACACAACACACACACACAAATACTGTACACATATGTGTATGTATCTGTTCTTTGAATTTTCCATTGAACAGATTTTAACCTCTTATTAATCTTCTCATTTATGAATAAGTTAAATAAAATCATTAACTTGTGTTGATCTTCTATTAGTATCATACACATGATTTTAAGTTTTTGAAAATTATATTTTAGAAGGCTTTTTAAATATGAAGTTAATGCATTTGAAGAAAAGAACAGTTACTGGGAAAAAATGTTAGCCAATTTTAAACCAATTTTAGCCAAATATGGGGTCAAATGGACAGGCTATCCAAATTGTTTCTGAATGTGAATGAAGTAACAAAACACATTTTAGAAAATCCTTTTTCTCCAAGTGATACATGATTGAATGTGTTAAGGATTAAAACAAAATTAAGATCCTCATGGATCAGCAAGTTTCTTTTTTATAGTTCATTGAATCATGCAATGAACCTGAAATATCTGGATTGACAGTCACTGGAAGTGTGTAACTGTGTTAAATAATGTTCGTCAAAAGCAATTTATGAAAACCATAGAATTTATTCAATGATAAAAAACTGGAAGTATTTTAGGTATTAGAATATGTCTGACATTTAAAAGAGGAAAAAAAAAAAACCCAGATGCACACCCACAGAAACACAAATACACAGACACAATGCTATGCAAATTGCTAAATGTTCCAAGCAATGTATTTTCGATGTATCACATTTTGTTAAAATTTAGAGAGAGTGAGAATAAATGATCAGACAACTTTTGCAATAGCCCTCCCCCACCGCAACACAACACTAAAATAATACATACAGTCTGGGCTTGTTTCAAACTCGAACTTGCGGCTGTTGCTCCCATATCCAGCTGCTGTTCGGGCTCGGATTTGGAATACATATGTAGTGTCAGGCTTGAGGCTACTGATGGTAGCATTTGTGCCTCTCGCCCTCAGAATGGTATAACTTGTCTCTTGTTCCTGCTTTAAGGTAAGAAAAACAAGCATGTTAAAATCGAATCTCCATAATGCTATCAAATAAACAGTGAACCACTCATAGTTGATTCTTTTCAATTTTAACATAGAGCATATAATGAATTTTAAAAAGTCATGACAATTATTTCACTCTCTGAATGCAATAAAGGCATTTTTTAAAGATGAAAATATTTGTAGAATTTTCTAATTTGGATAGTATGATTTATGCTATGCATATAAAGCGGGAAAAGTTAGACTTCTTTCTTACTAATATGTGAATATGTGAGTGAAAATATGTTCTCTTCATAGTCAAGGCTGTGAGAAAGCTTCACCAAATTTTAAGAAAAACTTACAAAGAAGAAAAGACCTCTTTTGAATTAAATCTAATAGAAATGCCCTGCTGATTCTCAAATAGAAAGTATTCCTATCAATTTTAAAATATTAAACATAAAACATCAGGTTTTATGTGTATCTTTACATTATTTATTTCCTCATCACAACTATATTTGCTCTGTGTTTAACCTAAGTCATTTTGGTTTAGTATAGACAAAAATCTTCAGATCAAAGTTTAGAAAAAAAAATCCAAAAAGGATCTCCTGTAGTCTATTCATATGGTACATTGGGAGTTCACATTTCACATTAATAGTTAAGTCTCTTTGTGTCAAGCCTTGTTTGCAAAAACTGAATTTATGCAGAATGTGTTTTTCCTCTAACATATATTTATATATACTGAGCACCTATGGGTCACCTGATTTCAGGCAATGGAAGAATGTCTCTGCACTTGGGATGAAGTCTAGAGTAGGTAATATGGGAAAATGCACATCCTCAACCAAAACTAGATAGAATATTATAGAAAACATGTCATACATTACAGATACTTTTTAGTTAAAATGATGATTATGTATTAGATCGCATTTGAGTTATTACATTAAATATGAAAATAGTAGAGTGTAATTATTTTACATAAATAATTATTTCATTTGCTAAAAAAAGAAATTATTGACTACATATCCAGAACCAGGGTCTGTTCATCATTATCAGTGAACTAACCAGTCAAGAAAGCTAGAAGTTGTGAAGCTTAAATTCTACTGAAACATCCAAAATATTTTCAAGCATCATATAGATATGAGTAATTTTAAAATTTATGAATATATGATATAAATAAGTATTTATATATGTTTAAAAATATTATTACAGGTGTGTATGAATTGAATTGAAAAATGTCTAGGGAATAATCAGTAGATTCCACCATTTTTTCCTGCATTGGCTAATATTTTTTAAAAATAATGGAGCTTGAAATAAGTCAGAAAATTTTTTATTATGTTTGTGTAAGATATAAATATAGATCAGTTCTACCTTGGAATCAGTCCTATAGATCTAAAAGTGGGTGTTCTTTTCCTACTTTTGCTATCCAGTCTGAACTGAGGCACATCATTAATTTTCTTTTGATTCTGATGCATCATCTATAAACACAGATTATTATGTTTTCTCAGTATATCTTGTTACACTTCTAAAAATAGAAGATCACAATCACATGAGTATTTGACTTTATCACAATGGATGAATGAAAGCTAGAAGAAAGCTTATTTATATTATGGTTTTGGCACAATAAAGTCTATTAGGTTTCACTTTCTTTAACAAAACTTTTCCCTGTAGGGGGGAGTTTGAAAAAAAATGGCATCATGCTTGTGAAATACATTAACTTCAAGAAAGGAAATAACTACAGAATGCAAAAGAATATTTATACATTATGCCTTTTTGCACAACTGATCATACTAATAATTCTCATACCTATAATGATCCATTCTTGTGTCTAAGGAGGTACATGATATAGGGCAAAACATACTAAACAAGGAATCATGGCTGACTGAATTCAAAACAGAGACCTAATATTTATTAGTAACGAGGCTGTGGGAAATTTATCTAATGTCACCGACTCTCAGGTTTCCTATTTGTAAAAGAACCTATTCTCTTACGTTCATAAGATAAATAACGTAAGCAGAAATGTTCCGTAAATGTAAATTGCTGCATAAATGCACAATTTGTTTTTAATTCCCTTTAAAATACTTTGTAAATTGCAGTAGATACACAAATATGCTGTGTTCACATTAGTAGCTATAAAACGAACCAGTTCTGACGGTAAGGTATGAATATGTCTTGCTTTCAAACATTACCATACTTTATAAGCAGGAGAAAACAGTATTATTTAAACTATAAAATATCACTGCCTAAATTCTACATATAAACATGTATCTATTTTTTTATAATTGCATTACTGAACCACAATTTTATGATATGAGGCTAACTTATTGTCTTTTTAAATTTCCTTCTACATAGTCAAAACTGCTTTTCATTCTCAGTTCAATAATATGATGTTTATGTTGTTAGTGCAATGTTTCTATTTGTATTGAATGAAATTCATGTGAAGGTGAAGGTCAGGAAATGATGCTTGAGTCAATGCATTAATAAATAGTTCACCAATAAACTTAGGAATTACTATAAAATAGTTGATAGAGCAGGGGTCTTGGTGAGAAAGGACATAAATGTCTCCTCTATTGCCAAAACTAAGTGGCTTAAGTTTGGTATTGACATCTTTGATGTTACTTACTGCTGTCGAATGGGGAGTATTTGACAAGATGATTTCTAAACCCCCCTCTGCCCATACTTCAAAGGGGTCACATTACTAGAGTTCTAAGAAGAGCTCTTCCACTTCCTAGCAATGTCATTGGTGACCTTGTAAAAAGGGCACACGAGAAATAGCCTCTTCCTCTACACAACCCAATTCTGTCCCATTGTTTCCCCACCTTTTCATAGTATTTGACCTCGTAGTCCAATATGATCCCATTAGGGTGTTCAGGTTCTTGCCAGGATAAAGAGATGCTGTTTCTGGATGTCCGGTCTTTCTTAATCGTCATGACAGGTGATGGAGCTGTAAAGAGAGGATGGGAGGGGATGGAGAGAGGAAGCAAGTTAATGGGTTGGGGAGGGTGGCGAATAGGAGCAGAGGAGCAGAGAGAAGGGAACAAGCAAATGGAGTCTATCATTGTTCTAATCTTTGGCAAGAAAGCACTATTTCCATTTCCAAGGCTCTTGAGTATTAATCTGGCCCCATATCTAGCCTTAGCAGCTGGATTATAGCCCTGTTACATGCAAGCCTGTGGAAAATGAACTGAGATTTTCTGCTGCTGGTGGACTAGTGGCAAGTGAGCAGATGTTTTCAATCTGCTACTATAATGTAAGCAATGAAATATATTTGATATATTAAAAAAAGAACAAAACATCAGGACTACCTATTTGTTATAATGTTGCAAAGTTATTAATGCCAGATTCTTCAGCTCATTGATAACATTTTCATATGCAACTCTGTAAGAGGACTGGAATCCATTATGCACAAGGAGTCCCATGGTATCCATAGGTAATAATAATATTTAGTGTATTACAAAAATATATAATTTAGAACATATTACAGTAGATCTCAACTTCTGACAAAAACCTGTCATGCATAAAAATACATATCAAGAAAACAATTATCTTCTACTGTAGAATTTTTATTTACTAAAAATATTTAATTAGAAGTGCTAAGGAAATGATTGCTATATGTGCTGCAATGATCTAGATATATTTTATGATATTTGATGGTGACTGTATTTGCTATGTTTAGCTATGCATTATTGAAAGTATGGAACATATGGAACATAAACTTAAAAAAATCAGTTTGGATCAGATATCACATGGTCACCTTTGTTTCTAACTGGAGATTAAGTATGTTTTAAGTGATTTCCTACTTGAAATCCTTCCATTAAAGAGAAAAATGCATACAATACATCAGTGTACATTTGCTTTTAAATCTCAGTCTTACACTAGTCAATCGAAATGTCTTACTGGAGTTCAGTGTCAGCAAAGTAAATTACAAACACAAAATAAACAAAAACTCAGGAATTTTTAGATACATTAACCATTGAATTGTTTTCATTGTTAAATGACCTATTTTTTAATAATTTTCTCAAACCAAGAACTACTAGAACCCTATATAATTGTATTCCCCACAGCAACTAGAAGTTCCATACCTATTATTTTGATGTTTCTCTGATTCTCACATGGTGACTTTTGCACCTAACCGCTCAAACTGTTTCTGTCTATAAACACCTTTCATTTTTATTTTGTACTTAAAAATAGAGCTTTTATTAAGCTTGACTTGTGCTTTTCAGTGAAAAATATAAATCAAAACATGGAATATATTGCAATAAATTTCCTATCCACCTGCTTCTATTATTTATGAGATCCCCATGAAACTCTTTTGTTTTAATGAAAGTATTATTTCTCTAATGGCCTGGGAATGATGATCTAATGAAAATCTTTTACCAAAGAAAAATGTAGGTGTTGCTTTCTAATGGAAAAATAAATTCATTTTCTTATTCACATTAATATCCTTAAACTCTTTTGTTTTAATGAAAGTATTATTTCTCTAATGGCCTGGGAATGATGATCTAATGATAATCTTTTACCAAAGAAAAATGTAGGTGTTGCTTTCTAATGGAAAAATAAATTCATTTTCTTATTCACATTTAAATTTCACATTAATATCCTATCATATAAATTAACATCATTTACCTTTCATGTCTACTCCTCATCTATTTAATGCTTCTGTTTTAGTTCCCAAATTGGCCTCACCCCTCAACCTCTGTGATTTGCTACTCTGAAGTAGATTCCAAGCAAAGGATAAGCTATATCTAATGATAAGTTTTCATTATGTTTTAGTTGAAACTTATTCAATGTTTATAAGCATATCACTGAATTATATATTAACAACAGGTATGTTGAATTTTTAAAAATTATTTTCATTTTACTTATCCTAATACTTAGAAAAATCAATTAATTATCCAATTGCTTTCTAAATAATTGCAGCCCCAGTATCCTTGGAACCAAATTTTCCACTAATTTTTCTGCTGAAGCAAATCCATTAATAGAGTAACTTTTAATGTGTGCTTACAGAGCATTTCAAAGAAACTTAATGTTGGAGCACTTTCCTGTTAAACCCATGAAGTCCTACATTTAATTCCATATCCCCATGAAACTGGTTTATTTTTCCTAGTGGTAAAATACATTTTCAAAAATGTTTTGAAAATAACCAGGTATAGCATCTCTCCTTTAAAAAAGAAGAGAGGTAAAATAATTTATTTCAAAGAACACTTGTGACGAGTATTGTATGAACTTTTTAATGAAATCTTTGCAGGCTGTTTTGGGGGTCTGCCTAAATTTGACTGCTTCTGCACTGAGCAGGGCTTTATTACTGTTGAAATTCTTCAAAGGTCTTTGAGCAAGCTGCGGGGGCCCTGTTGGACTGTAATAAATAGCCTTTTGTAATTCCACACTTACTTAAGTAGAAGCAATTACTCGAAGCTTGTGCCATCTCTATGTTAAATGAACCTTTTCTGATTGCTGCTTTTAGGCCCCTGTTAAGTCATTTGTTCTGCTCTCTTCATACACGCCCCTTGTGCTGGCTGCATTTCAGCACAGTTCATCCCAGTACACCAGCTGGAAGCCCGCTACTTTTAGGTAACGCTGATCAATATTTTAATATTAATAAATAATTAACAGAAATTGTTTTTCTCTCCCTTTATAAATAATGTTAACACATAATAAAACATACTGGAAGAAGACACAAATTCCATGAGCACTCCATTGTATCAATGCTTTTTAAAAAGTTTTCCAAATATTTTTTAATTCATGTCTGGAAGTATAATTTATTTGTACTACTTCATGTGCTGTAACACAATTTACAACATTAACGAGAAACAGCGATTATGTTTCTTTTCGTTAATTTTCAGGTATCAAAGAGTGATTTGTACAAATTACTAATTTACAAATCCATAGAAATTATTTATAAATTTTTTTTCTTTATAAAGAAGCATGACATGACAGTGTACAACATAATATAGGTTTGATTCATTTTATTCTCATGCCTTTGTTTTTTAAATTTGTGACTTAAAAGAATGGAAGGTAATAGTTATATGGAATATAAAAAAAAA